GACAAACCTGCACATCCTACACGTGCGCCCTGAGCTTCATACTGAGGTGATGGGCTGTGTGGGAAACCACATGGCACACATTTACCTATGTGACAAACCTGCACATCCTACACGTGCGCCCTGAGCTTCATACTGAGGTGATGGGCTGTGTGGGAAACCACATGGCACACACTTACCTATGTGACAAACCTGCACATCCTACACGTGCGCCCTGAGCTTCATACTGAGGTGATGGGCTGTGTGGGAAACCACATGGCACACACTTACCTATGTGACAAACCTGCACATCCTACACATGCGCCCTGAGCTTCATACCGAGGTGATGGGACGGGCTGTGTGGCAAACCACATGGCACACACTTACCTATGTGACAAACCTGCACATCCTACACGTGCGCCCTGAGCTTCATACCGAGGTGATGGGACGGGCTGTGTGGCAAACCACATGGCACACACTTACCTATGTGACAAACCTGCACATCCTACACATGAGCCCCTGAGCTTAAGATAACTGAAGAAAAAAAAGTGATCATTCTCCTAATGTGACACTCAAAAATCACCAGCTTGTTTTAACTAATTTATGAAGCTTTGCTTAAGTTAGCAGTAAGTCCTCCTAGGGCTGGAAAAATACCTATTTTCTAGACCCCCACATTGTTAGCACCTGTAAAATATGTAGCCCATCTAGGTGCTGTATAAAGCCGACTGGCTTAGCTGAAACATGACATGGTCTTTTTCACCACCACCAACCAACTTGTATCCTGCTTACTATGTGCCATACAGTGTGCCAGACAGATGATTTACAATCAGACATCAAAACTACAGATGGGCTTTTTCTTTTTCTTCCAACTTTTAATTTTGTTTAGGTTGTTCCAATGTACAGAAAAGTTGTCGGAATATTACAATGAACACCTCTGCATCTTGCATCTAGACTCACTCATTTTTAGCGTGTTTCCGTTGTATACCTCTTTCTATGTTAACTATGCATCTTGCATATGAGCTACTTTCACTCAGGCTTTGAGCATTAACTGTGACCATCGCTGTGCTTTATGCCTGGTAATTCAGTATGTATTTATCAAGGACTATTGTTCTCACATGTTTAATACAACATCAGATTTAGAAAATTGAACATGGACACAAACATTACCTAACAAGAGTCCACAATCAAATATCTAATTGTCTTAATGACGTCCTTGGGAATATTTTGTCTTCCTAATCCAGGATTCAATCCACAATCATACATTGTTATCATGATCCTATAGTCTTATTTTCATTTTTGCTTTTTTTGAGATGGAGTCTCGATCTGTTGCCAGGCTGGAGTGCAGTGGCATGATCTCGGCTCACTGCAACCCCAGCCTCCTGGGTTTAAGTGATTCTCTTGCCTCAGCCTCCCAAGTAGCTGGGACTACAGGCATATGCCATCGTGCCCAGCTAGTTATTGTATTTTTAGTAGAGACAGGCTTTCACCATGTTGGCCAGGATGGTCTCAATCTCTTGACCTTGTGATCCGCCTGCCTTGACCTCCTCAAGTGCTGAGATTACAGGTGTGAGCCACTGCACCTGCCCAGATCCTACAGTATTTTTTTTTTTTTTTTTGAGACAGTCACCAGGCGCCAGGCTGGAGTGCAGTGGTGCAATCTTGGCTCACTGCAACCTCCACCTCCCTGGTTCAAGCAATTCTCCTGCCTCAGCCTCCGAAGTAGCTGGGACTACAGGCGTGTACCACCACACCCAGCTAATTTTTGTATTTTTAGTACAGATGGAGTTTCACCATGTTGGCCAGGATGGTCTCCATCTCTTGACCTCGTGGTCCACCCACCTTGGCCTCCTAAAGTACTAGGATTAGAGGCGTGAGCCCTGCGCCCGGCCCCTATAGTATTCTTTAACCTGGAATAGCTCCTCAGTCACTCTCTTTTATGACATTGATATTTCAAAGAGTATTAAAAGCAGTTTTACAGAATGTGACTTTCTCTCCGTTTAAGTGTGTTTCCTCTTAATAACTAATAATAATTAGATTCGGATATTCCTTTCTTCCCTCTCTCCCTCCTTCCATCATTTCTTTATTGCCCCCAGTTTTTTGGCAGAAATGCAAAAAAAAAGGCTATGTCTTCCTCATTGCATGAACAGGAGGCACATGATATCAGTTTGATCTACTAAGAGTTTTCTTTTGATTAAAACAGTGTCTATCAGTTTTCTTCAGTGTAAAAGGTAATTTTTCCATTTGCAGCTAATGAGAAATCTCTGGCAAAATGCCTTATTCTCTAACAAATGTTCCTTCAGTGGTTTTAGTATACTTTGATGGTTCTTGCCTAAATCAGGCATTAGTATGATGACAAAAAGGCAACTTGCTAAATCTATCAATTTTTCACATTTATTTATTGGCATTTTGTTCTAAAGAACTATTCTTCATTCATTTATGTGTTTATTATATCAATATGGACTCAGGAATTCTCTTTTACAATTCTATATGTTATAATACAGTGCTGTCATCATTAATTTTGATGTTCAAATTGTTCCAACCTTGTTCTTTAGAAATCCTTTCAAATTGACATCTATGTTCTTTTGATGTCTTCATCAGTTTTTTAAAAGCCATTTGTTGTAGCAGGGGCTACATACAGAGAAATGTAAAAATCCTAAATACACACATCAAAATATTACACAAAGTAAATGTACTCCTGATGTCTTGAGATCTTTTGGGTGTTGCTTCACCAACCAGAAACCTCTGTGGCTGGTGACACCCTCTGCCTGAGTATTTCTCAGGCCCTCTGGGTTTATTCTGCCCACTCAGCCAAGCAGGCTGCCCTTGGCTCATGCTACTGGCCCAGATCACACACTTGCCAAGGGTGAGCCAGGTGCAGAGCAGCGAGGGGTATGTGAGTGAGCGAACGTGGGGTCCGGCTGGCACAGGTGCTGGCTCCATGTGAATCTGCAGCTGGACTAGTCATACCCCATGTGATTTCTGCTGTGGACACCGACATCTGGATGAGAGGAACATGGTAGAACCTGGAAGCTTGGAGATGCCAGGAACTGCAGAGCCCCAAAGAGAGCGTCACAGTCTGGCTTGGGAAACCCCTAGTCTGGGCTCCCCGAAGGGCTGCAGCTCTTCTCTCCTTTTCATTGCTGCAACAAGGCAAGTGGGAAGTGGGGGGGAGCATGTTTCAGCCCTGTTTGTATTACAGTTCTTTCAGTCTTGCCATAGTGGTCCTGAGTTGTCGTCCCATGTCCAGGAAGAATGAGGTACACAGACAACTGGAGGGTGAGAAAACAGAGAAGAGCTCCGTTGAGCTCTCAGTAGACTTGAAGTGGGTAGCTCCTTTCCACAGCAGGTCATCTGACAAGTGTCCAGCTCTCACTGGAGAGGAGGTTTACAGTGGGTAGTTCTTTTCAACAGCCAGTAGCCCCAATGTCTGTTTGAATCTGGCTGAGTCCAGGGACTTTATGTGCTCAAAAGGGAGGAAATGTGTGCTGATTGGTCCATGAATGGCCACAGGTGGCCCAGAAAAAACACCATATGTTCTTACTCCTGTCCACAGACTCCACCTGGAAGTGGCAGCTTGGTCCCCAGGCTTCAGTCCATCCCTTGTTTGAAGATTGGGTTTCACTGGGGAGCCACCCCTTTCTGCCCAGGAGCCCATCTGCCTCCTGCCACCGTCAACATGCCATCCACAAAGCTCAGGCTGTTCCTGCTAAGGGGTGCCTGCGGGCCCACACTGAGCCACCCTCAGCATGCCCTCAGCCTCCCTCCCATGCTTGTTGACACCCAAAGTCTGGAGGGGGCTGAGGTGGCAAGAGGCTAGTGTGTCAGTGCTGCCCTGAGTGTACACATACCTGGCCAGGTTGCCAAAGCACCTTGGCTCTACCACAACTTTGCTCCAAAATCAGAGTGGTACTGGGAGCAGGGAGAGTCCAGGGAGCAGGAGCAGGGAGAGTCCAGGGAGCACGAGCAGGCACTTCTGAGTCTGTGGGGGCAGGAGGGCTTCCTGAGCCACTGAGAGGGTCCAGAGCCATGGCTGGGTGGCTGCAGCTTCTTCCAGATCACTGGGCTCCCAATCTACAAACGTGGTAGGGGGCGGGCTTCCACCTGTCACCAACCTGGCTGACCCCATGTATTGCACAGTCCTGGCCATGCTTCCCCAGCTGCAGCTGGTGTCCCACAGAGGCTGCTCCAGAACGGCTGCCACTGCCGTGACTAGCACACAGATAACACCAGCATATCAGAACCATCCTGTGTCTCTATAATTTTTTTTTTTTCTGAGACAGATTTTCACTCTTGTCATGCAAGCTGGAGTGCAATGGTGCGATCTAGGCTCACTGCAACCTCCGCCTTCTGGGTTCAAGCAATTCTCCTGCCTCAGCCCCCCAAGTATCTGGGATTATAGCCATGTGCCACCAGTCCTGGTTAATTTTTTTGTGTTTTTAGTAGAGACAGGTTTCATCGTGTAGGCCAGGATGGTCTCCAACTCCTGACCTCAAGTGATCCACATTGGCCTCCCAAAATGCTGGGATTACAGGTGTGAGCCACCACACCCCACCCATCCTGCATCTCTTTGAATCACTTTTTCCCAGGGGGGGTACCGCTGATTTTGTTTTGGTTGCTTTTGAAATATATACAAATGGAATAATACAAAATGTATTATTTAGATCTGACTTATTTTGCTTACTATGTTTTGAGACTCATCAGCACTGCTTTATATAGATATAGCTTGTTAATTCTCATTGCTGTATTGGATTTCATTGTGTGACTACAGCACAATGTATTTACTGTTGGCCCTCATTCAGTTTTATATAAAAACTGAATGAGGGTTAACAATTTTATATATATTTATATAAATATATATATATATTATATATATATAAAATTGTTGACCCTCATTATATATATATATATAATCTGTCAAATATGTATGTTTGTGGATATGTATGTGAATATATATATATATATATATATCCACAAACATACATACATATTTGACAGACATACATATAACATAAATTTCTGTTGCACATATTTTAGATGTGAAATTGCTAGGAAATAGGACATACATATGGTCATTTCTAGTAGATATGGCCAAATGCTTTTCCTACATTTTGCCGGAGAATTCTAGTTGTACATTCTTACCAACATCTGGTATTACTTGTGTTTTTCATTTTAGACATTTGGCAAATATGTAATAAAATCTTACTATGATTTTAATTTGAATTTCTCTGATGGATAATAAAGTTTTGATATATTTATTGGTCATTTGGATATTCTCTTGTTAAGGGCTGGTTAAATCTTGTGCCCCTTCTTGTCAATTCTAAGCTGACCTATAGTTCCACACAGTCTCAACCCTATGTCATAGCAGGGTGTACATGCATGTGTGTTTATATAAAGTAACAAGCTCACTTTTTAATTCCTATGAAACTGCAAATGGCCAGCCGAGAAAAAGAATTTCGCTGGAAGATTCACATTTTTACATATAAATGGCAATTGTAAAGATAAAGTCATTACATCTCAATTAGGTATGCCAATGACTAAAACCAATGGGAAAGAGTAGAGAATCTAGGTTTATGACAAAAATGGCAGTGGGAGAAAGGATGGTCCTTCAATACATGGTTGTGGGTCAGTTAGAAATCAATACAGAAAATGCATTTTGCTTCTACCTCACAGTACACACAAAAAACAATTCCAGATCTAAAAATGAAAGATTAAAGTGATGTTTTTTTATGAGAAAAAAATAAGAGAACATCCTTCTGACCTTGAAGCAGCCAAATATTTTTAAAGAAGTAGAATAAGTAGAATTTGCTGTTGTCAAGAGGTAAGGTTGAGAGGAAAACGTCTGCAGGACAACTCCAAAGCTTCAGGACTGCGTACTAAGAGGCAAGAGATGTCATCTATTCCGATGAGGAAGAGCGCAGCACGAGCCAAGGTTGAGTGTACAGGTCAGAAGTGTAGTATTGGAAAACTTAAATTTGAGATGCTTATATATTATACTATTATAACAATATACTATTTCTGAAGAGAAGTCAAGTGGACAGTTGAACATGAGTCAAATTTCATGGGAGAGGTCCAGGCTGGAGTGAGAACTTTAGGAACTGTCTGAGTAGAGATTTATTGTACAACCGAGAGTTCAGAGAAGAGGGTCAAGAGCTGAAAATCAGAGTTTTACTGAAAAATGATGGGCAGAAGACCCAAGTGGAAATTCTGAGAAGACTGGGCACAAAGAAGTACACTTTTGAATATGATGTATGGCACGGACATTGTTAATTGGCACATTACAGCCAGACCTCATCTGTGTCAGGGATAGCATTTACCCCATTTTAAGGATGTGCAGACGGAAGTTCAGATGTGTTTAAAATTCACACTGAGACGGCTCTGACCCTGTGTTCTTCATCTTTTTCTTTATAGACACCATGCTCTCTGCCTCACGAAAGAACTACATCCTCATTTCCAAAATCTTTTCAACAAGAAATAGTCAAATGAGACTGACAAACTCTGATAACTTTTTATGCCCCGCTTAATATTAAATAAAATTTGAGATTGTCTTTACTTTTTCATTACGAAAAGATGTTTACTGAGAAAATGTAAAGTGTTCTTTAAGCAGAAGGTGGCTCATAAAGAACTTCATTGTGGTGGAATTCCACGGTGACTTTACACCCACACGTTCTTGTTAGTCAAGTGGCACAAGTTGTATAGTTTGTAGTTGAAGACATATGCCTGTTAGTTCTCTGAACAGTAGAAATACAACTGGGAGTGAAACCCCGACTCTGCTAAAATATAAAAAATTAGCCAGTCGTGCTGGCGTGCACCTGTAATTCCAGCCACATGGGAGGCTGAGACAGGGGAATCGTTTGAAGCCGGAGGCGGAGGTTGCAGTGAGCCAAGATCGCACCACTGCACTCCAGCTTTGTGACAGAGCAAGACTCTGTCTCAAAAAAAAAAAATACAACTGGGAATACATATCTATGTAGAAAGTGTGGTAGGCGGCAAGGCCTATGAAATAAAGAGGGTTGGAGGTAGAAAGAGAAAGAATTTTTTTATTGATCACTATTTGATGTACTAAGAGTGGAAGCTAGGTACAGTGGGATTTTAAGTTAAACGACCAACTTAGAGATACGTTCTGATGGCGCTAATTGAAATATCTCTGAGTTTATGGTGTGATGCCCTTTGTATGTTGAACATGTTAAAGACTGCTTTACTACATCAGGTGGTGCTCCTACAAGAAATGATATTAAATAATAAATAAATAAATGATAAAAAAATAAGATAATAACAATAATAAAAATAAACACATGATAAGTAGTGTAAACACACACATTCAGGCACTGGGCTGCCTAGGTTCAAATCCCAACTCTGACACTTACTAGAACCATGCTCTTTGACAAGATACTTTCTCTCTGTGCTTTCTCTTCATCTGTGGAAATAGGAATCATAATGGTATGTTATTATTATCACCATCATCATTATTATTAGGGTGGATCTCAAAACTAAACAAATTTGCATGTATGTAGCATGTAAATAGGTGTGGCACATAATAAGCTATGTGCTTGTATTTAAGCAAATAGTGTGCGGTAATATTTGTATAATAAGCCAATAAATGTCTATTAAATGCCTGAATGTGAGCCTATGCTGAAAAGAAAATATGTCTCCTTATAAAGTAAAAGGATGCTAGGTGCGAGGCTGCTTGCCAGTGTGTGCATTCAACTTACAGACTTTAACAGATGTGTGCAGTCTCGTACCTAGCATATGCACATCTGTCAAAGTCTATAAGATGAAATTAATAGCAATAAGAAATATTCTTGTGTTGTAAGTCCCTTCTGCGGCTGGAGCATGTGTTGGTTTTGTTTAGAGCTATTTGAGAAAAACTGCCAAAGAAGAAAAATCCATATTTGTACTGCTTGTCTCATCATCAATCAAAGAATATTCATTAATTGTCTCTCCACTGTGCTCGATCTCATCAAGATAAAGTCAGACAACAGCATTTATGATCCATTCCCTGCGTGCAGGTGTAGAAGGAAGTATTTATTAAATGTTTACTTTCACATTGTGTCAGATTCTTTTCAAAGTGAGTAAAAAAGCAGAGACACTATTCTGAAATATAATCATGATTTACAGTTGTGTAGGGATGAAGGTATTGTGGCTCTGAAGGGCACTCTGCACAGCATGAATTCCAACTCATAACTGATGGTGGACATATTCTTTCTATTACTTAGCACGTACAATGCTACTTCCCTGGACAAGTTAGTGGCATTACACTGTCTGGGGTAATGAACTTGAGACTATAATGTTGATAAGCTCAGTTAGTCTTCCACGATGTACACTAAGTCATATCAGAATTACAGGAGTTTCCCATAATTTTGGAACATAAACCAATAACATATTTATACAAATACAGCCCAAGAAAACCAAAACACCAAGCATTCATATTTGACAATGCTTCCTGTCAAATATGTTATACCCAATAAGCCAAATTATGTCAGTTTTAACTTTAGGAAACTAATATCTCACAGGATTGAGTTAGAAAAAGACAAAATTACCTATAAAATTGATCTTGATTATAAAACTTCCATAATCCTTTTATAACCTTTATTAAGGAGTTGGTTAATGTTCCAAGAAAACCTTGTTAATCTGACACAGGAGACCATATACTGGTTTTGCATCAGTGTGCCTTTCACATCAATAATTAACTTATAGAGAAACTGAACTTACTTTATCTTTCTTCTTTTTTTGAGACGGAGTTTCGCTCTTGTTACCCAGGCTGGAGTGCAATGGCGCCATCTCGGCTCACCGCAACCTCCGCCTCCTGGGTTCAGGCAATTCTGCCTCAGCCTCCTGAGTAGCTGGGATTACAGGCACGCGCCACCACGCCCAGCTAATTTTTTGTATTTTTAGTAGAGACGGGGTTTCACGATGTTGACCAGGATGGTCTCGATCTCTTGACCTCGTGATCCACCCGCCTCGGCCTCCCAAAGTGCTGGGATTACAGGCGTGAGCCACCGCGCCCGGCCTGGTTTTTTTTTTTTGACGTGACACCGGTGCCACTGGCAACAAAGGCACAGATAAACGGGCGGAACTACGTCAAACCAGAAACGTTCCACACAACGACGGAAGCCACAAGGGAAAAGGCAACCAGCGGAGTGAGAGAATTTTCAACCCCGTTATCTAATATGGAGTTAATATCCTAAATAGTTAAGAAATTCATACAACTCAATAGCAAAAACCAAATTACCCAACATAAAACATTGGCAAGGAATCTCGGGAACATTTTTCCAAAGGAAATATACTAATAGCAGCAGAGATATGAAAACGTTATCAGTATCACTAATCATCAGAGAAACACAAATCAAAACTACAGTGTGACACCACCTCACACCTAATGAGAGATGGGAAGTACCGGTGAGGGTGTGGAGGTTTCTCAGTTGCTTGGGCCACGAAGACCTTGCACTGTCCCTTCCTACCAGCGCAGACTCGAACCCAAGGCGGAGGGTCTGAGCTGTCTCCAAGCAGGAATCAATGCGTGGGAACTGGTCCAGGTGGCCGGGGTTGCGGCCCCAGCCTTCCGAGCATCCTGCACCGTGGAGACCTCCAGGGTGCCCTCTGGTGGCCAGCGGACGCTAGGCGCCGGCGCTCTGACCTGCACAGGGTTTTTAGCTTTGCTGGGTCATTTTAACGCCGTAATCTCCAGAAAAGCCCTTCCTGAAGTTTTTGACCATACAATCTAGGACCGTGGGTTTACACGGACTTTTCCCCGTGATGTGTGTCCCCTTTTGAACGGCGACGCAAGACAAAGGAGGGGTGTCCTGTGAAGGACCACGGCGCCTCTTAGCAGTCAGCGGGTCGGTATAATGAGAGCCCAGCTGGCGCTCAGCTCCATACGGCCATGAACCCTAGGAGGTTCACCACGGAAACGCAGGCTCGGGCCCTGTCGAGCTCCGTAGTTTGCACCGAGGAGCTGCAGATTGGAGGTTCAAAGAGGCTCCTGAGCTCCCCACGCACTCACACACTCACTCAGAGGTCATCACATTCCCACCCTAACCCGACAAATCCACCTGCTGTCTCCACGTGGAGACCCCGGGAGGTGACCAGGCTCCCCTTCCGTTGGCAGATGGGCCTGACTAAATCCACCTGCTGTGTCCACGTGGAGACCCCGGGAGGAGACCAGGCTCCCCTTCCGTCCGCAGACGGGCCTGACTAAATCCACCTGCTGTCTCCACGTGGAGACCCCGGGAGGTGACCATTCTCCCCTTCGGTCCGCAGAGCGGCCTGACTAAATCCACCTGCTGTCTCCACGTGGAGACCCCGGGAGGTGACCAGGCTCCCCTTCCGTTGGCAGATGGGCCTGACTAAATCCACCTGCTGTCTCCACGTGGAGACCCCGGGAGGTGACCATTCTCCCCTTCGGTCCGCAGAGCGGCCTGACTAAATCCACCTGCTGTCTCCACGTGGAGACCCCGGAGGTGACCAGGCTCCCCTTCCGTCCGCAGACGGGCCTGACTAAATCCACCTGCTGTCTCCACGTGGAGACCCCGGAGGTGACCAGGCTCCCCTTCCGTCCGCAGACGGGCCTCACTAAATCCACCTGCTGTCTCCACGTGGAGACCCCGGAGGTGACCAGGCTCCCCTTCCGTCCGCAGACGGGCCTGACTAAATCCACCTGCTGTGTCCACGTGGAGACCCTGTGAGGTGACCAGGATCCCCTTGCGTTCGAAGACGGGCCTCACTAAATCCACCTGCTGTCTCCACGTGGAGACCCCGGGAGGTGACCAGGCTCCCCTTCCGTCCGCAGACGGGCCTGACTAAATCCACCTGCTGTCTCCACGTGGAGACCCCGGAGGTGACCAGGCTCCCCTTCCGTCCGCAGACGGGCCTCACTAAATCCACCTGCTGTCTCCACGTGGAGACCCCGGGAGGTGACCAGGCTCCCCTTCCGTCCGCAGACGGGCCTCACTAAATCCACCTGCTGTCTCCACGTGGAGACCCCGGGAGGTGACCAGGCTCCCCTTCCGTCCGCAGACGGGCCTCACTAAATCCACCTGCTGTCTCCACGTGGAGACCCCGGGAGGTGACCAGGCTCCCCTTCCGTCCGCAGACGGGCCTCACTAAATCCACCTGCTGTCTCCACGTGGAGACCCCGGGAGGTGACCAGGCTCCCCTTCCGTCCGCAGACGGGCCTCACTAAATCCACCTGCTGTCTCCACGTGGAGACCCCGGGAGGTGACCAGGCTCCCCTTCCGTCCGCAGACGGGCCTCACTAAATCCACCTGCTGTCTCCACGTGGAGACCCCGGGAGGTGACCAGGCTCCCCTTCCGTCCGCAGACGGGCCTGACTAAATCCACCTGCTGTGTCCACGTGGAGACCCTGTGAGGTGACCAGGCTCCCCTTCGGTCCGCAGACGGGCCTCACTAAATCCACCTGCTGTCTCCACGTGGAGACCCCGGGAGGTGACCAGGCTCCCCTTCGGTCCGTAGACCGGCCTCACTAAATCCACCTGCTGTCTCCACGTGGAGACCCCGGAGGTGACCAGGCTCCCCTTCCGTCCGCAGAGCGGCCTCACTAAATCCACCTGCTGTCTCCACGTGGAGACCCCGGGAGGTGACCAGGCTCCCCTTCGGTCCGTAGACCGGCCTCACTAAATCCACCTGCTGTCTCCACGTGGAGACCCCGGGAGGTGACCAGCCTCCCTTCCGTCCGCAGAGCGGCCTGGTCAGAGTCGGTCCCGGGGCCTTACGTCATCGGGGTTCCCCTCAGTTCAGTCCGTCCCCCGCCCTTCTCCGCGAGCAGCAGTGGTTCCCCCTGCAGGGAAGGAGGCCCCGGAGCAGCTCACGGGAGGGCCCGGCCTCGCTCCGGCGGGGAACACGCAGCCGTCCGTCCCTTCCGACCCCAAACCCGGCGCTCAAGCGTTTCCGGGTCCGGGAAGCAGAAGTTGCGGACGATGTGAGCTGACAGGAAGCCAGCGGCTCTCGGGGAACGGGGACACGCTCTACTCCGCCGGGCCCGAGGGGTGCACGCCCGGACGCCTGGACCCCGCTGAGAAAAGTGCGGTGTCCACAGGTGAAGGGCGGGGAGGGAACCGGGCTTCAGACAACCGCGGGTTTAGACGGCGGCCGTTTCCCGAAGGGTTTAGCTGCTGAGGAACGAGCGCAGGCGCAGGCGCAGAAAGACGCCGTAATTAGCCGAGAAACGGGGCGGCTTAAACAGAGGGAAGCAGGTAGGCGCCGAGGACATCCTGGGCCAGACCTCCGCCCGGGTCCCCGCCCGCGTCCGCGCCTGCGTTCACCCCGCCCCGCCACTCGCGCGGACCGACAGCGGGCCTGCTGGGGGGAGGGCTGACACGTGGCGGAAAGCAATGTTTTTTATTTGCCACAGTTCTTTTTTTTTTTTTTTTTTTTTGAGACGGAGTCTCGCTCTTGTTACCCAGGCTGGAGTGCAATGGCGCGATCTCGGCTCACCTCAACCTCCGCCTCCTGGGTTTAGGCAATTCTCCTGCCTCAGCCTCCCGAGTAGCTGGGATTACAGGCACGTGCCATCGTGCCCAGCTAATTTTTTTGTATTTTTAGTAGAGACGGGGTTTCACCATGTTGACCAGGATGGTCTCGATCTCTTGACCTCGTGATCCTTCCGCCTTGGCCTCCCAAAGTGCTGGGATTACAGGCTTGAGCCACCGCGCCCGGCCGAGTACGTTTTTTTTTTTTTTAATTGCATTTCACGTTTTGGGGTACATGTGCAGAACACACAAGATGGTTGCACAGGTACACACGTGGCAGTGTGATGTGCTGCCTTCCTCCCCTTCACCCACATTTGGCTTTTTTTCTATTATACGTGTGTCGTTATGTTTACAATCTCATCACAAAACGTAACCATTGCTGTTCCACCAGGTGTCCCTTACTGAGTTTCTCAGAATTCTCACCTGGTTTTGAGAAATGAACGTCCTTAGCATAACCCCAACACAAGTCAACCGTTCATGACCCTGACGACTCTTTTCTCCATTATTTTCACTAATATCTGCGAATAGATTGGGAAATACGTGCCAGTGCATATGGAAGTTATGTTTACACTATACCGTAATCTATTCAGTATGCAAAGCATTATGTCTGAAAAATAATATACATGCGTTAATGAAAAATATTTATGTTTAAACTATGCTGACGCAGGGAGCAGGGACACAAAGTAAACACATAACGTGTGAAAAATGGCACCAATGAACTCGCTCAATGCAAGGTTGCCACAAATGTTCACTTTGTAAAATATGGAGCATTTCTGAAATGCAATAAAATGAAGAGCAATAAAACAAGGCTGTGCTTTTAATTATGAGTGTAGTTATGTTTAATTACATTTCTTACTATTTTTCTGTTAGCAACATTTGGTGACTTTAGTTGTTTTTCTTGTCTGTCCTTTCTTTGAATTTGTCAAGTATTTGTCAGTTTTATGTTCTATTTCAACAATTGGATTTTAGCTTTGTCTTTATATTTTTAGTGATTATCCCAAGAATTACACTATATACTTTTAACTTTTTACTTTAAAAATATTATTTTACTTTATTTATATTTTAAGAAGCACACAACCCTATACTTTCTTTTCCCTCTCCCATTCTTCAATAACTAAATTTTTACTTCCATGTATATTCTTGTACTGTTGTGATAGTTAATTCTGTGTATTAACTTGACTAGACCATGGAATGTTCACCTATTTGGTCAAACATTATTCTCGGTTTTTCCGTGAAGATGTTTCTAGATGATCAGTAGAGTGAGTAATGCAGACTGTCTTCCCTAATGTGGGTGGGCCTCATTCAGTCTGTTGAAGGTGTAAAGAGAACTAAACACTCACTCTCTTTTAAGTAGGAAAGAATTATCTGCAACTGCCTTGAACTGAAATACCAGCTCTTCCTGGTTCTTGAGCCCCCTTTGAACTGGGAATTGACTTTGGGAGCTCCAGGTTATAGACTCACCCCTGGGAAAACAAAAGAATAAGCCCCCAGCTCAAGGGTTCAGTAGCTGACCTGAAAGCTTCAATGTGCACCCACCCTCTGGGAGGCACTATCTCCTCTAGCCACAGGCTGAGATTGCTGAAAATCAGACCTCAATCTTGTCTTGTCACCAGCTAAGTTACAAGGGAAGGTAAAATGCCAGACTTGCAGAGTGCCTACTGTTAAAG